CAGCATCTCTTGGATGCTTGTTTCTCAACCAAAAACTGCTTTTCTCATGAAATGATGGGGGGCTAAGAAGAAGGATGGCGCTGCTGACAGTCATGCTGCCAGCTCTGATGCAACCAAAAGGCCGAAAGTGACCCCAAGAGCCTAAGCTGCCAGTGAGACCGCAGGTCGGGGGCCCTGCACAGTCAGGCACCACTCTGGAAACGTCTTTCAGAGGCATCTCTGGGGCTCACGTCCAGCCCACAACTCTGCATCGTTGATGCCATTCTGCATGTCTGCTCCATATAGCATGATAAACTCCGCTTGGGAGGTTACTTGCAACCAAGTAACTCCTATCTGATGGTGCCCGAAGGCTGTCACCAGTGCTCACAAGCAGACAGGCATTGCTGCTCCGTTGACAGAATCCTCTCTCCACATTCTCCCCATTGAGTCCACCCTTCACATGCAAGAGTCACTGACAGGGCCACAAAGTAGGGCTTCAACAACAAGAGTTTGTTATCTTACGGTTTCTGTGGACATGAGTCCAGGGTCAGCTTAGCTGGATGCTTTCAGATTGACCACAGCAGACTCTAGGCTGAACCTGGGGCTTGACCAACCTGGGTCCTGACCAGCCTGGAAACCTGCAGCCTCAAACCTGGGGGGGCTTCCTGATCAACCTCGGCAGCCTCCTGGTTGCTCCTGAAGCCTAAAGCCTGAGCAGGGGAAGACATTGGCAGCATCCTGATAACACCAGGCTCTTAAACCTGTGCCTGGTAAGACCTCCTCGTCGAACTCAGCAACCTCTATGCTGAACTTGGGGTGGGCCTCCCGGTCGACCCAGCCCCTGAACACAGGGCTGCCTCCTAGTCACCCCGGTGGCCTCCATTCTGAGCTGGGGAGGGCCTTCTGGTCAGGCTAAAACCTGGTCAGCCTCCTGGTAGATCCTGTAGCCTCCAAGCTGAGCCTAAGGGGACTCCTCCTGTTTGACTTTGGTAGCCTCCAAGCTGAGCCTGGGGTGTGCCTCCTGGTTGACCTGGCAGCCTCCTGGCTGATACTAGGGCAGGGCTACTATTCAATCTCGGCAGCCTCCATGCTGAACCTAGGAAGGACATTGTGCTCGACCTCAGGAGTCTCTGGGCTGAACCAGGAGCAGCTTCCCAGTTGATCTTGCAGCCCCTAGCCTGAGCCTCCTGGTCATTCTGGAAGCCTCCAGGCTGAAGGCAGGGCAAGCCTATTCTCAACCTCAGCCTCCTGCCTGAGTCTGGGAGGGCTTTCTGGTTTACCCAGCAGTCTCCAGAATGAAACTGGGAGGCTTTCAAAAGGTCTCACACGCTGCAATTGAGGTGTAGCCAGAGCTGGGTCTCATCCCATAGATTCAACTTGGGCAAGGCTCCCCCTAAGATCCTAAGCTCCCCCAGGTTGTATTGGAATTCATGCCTTTGTGTCTGTAAGACCATAGGGTCCAGGGCTCTGGTGGCTGTGACTGGCCTTCACCCAGAGGCCACCCTTGGCATCTCGAGCTTCCTGCCATTCCTGACACATGGGCTTCAGGGTGAGCCCTGCTTCATCAAGGAACAGTCTCTGGAGGGATACTGCAGACCAGGTGATCTTTCCTAGTAGAATAGGACCCTGGATGACTTCCCTTCGCCTATGTAACATTCTGCCGGTAAGAAACTAGTCACAGGTAATGTCCATACTCAAAAGGAGGGGCACAAGGATGTTGCATCATGAGTTTCACCTAAGGATCCACTGGCCACAAACAGCAAGAAGTCATCACACATGTCACCTGGGGGATTTATTTGAATCTAGTATTTATTTGATATCTTATCTCTGCCTGTGATGGACAATATATATATGTGGACCCTGGTTCCACCCTCTCTACTTGTATTTGAATTCAGATTTTATGGCAGCAATAAATTATATTTACATGATAAGATACCATTTGCATGTTGCTTCATGGTCGGAGCTGCGTTTTTGTTTTCACATTGGGACACATAGACTTGAAATAGGCCTTCTAAGTCATTTCTGTGAGTCCTCCTGGTGCTTATTGAGGCCTTGCTTTGACACACTGGCCTAGACCCCAGGAGACCAACCTGGGCCGTATAAGTGGCCTCTGCCGGCAGGTAGCTTGCAAGCCAGCCTCCAGCAGAGGGAGGTGCACACAGAGAGGGAGGAGCCAGGAGCCACAAAACACATGGGAGGGAGGCCCGAGCTTTCTTGGCAGAGGTGGAGAGGGCAGTCGACAGAAGGAACAGTGTGTGCAGCAGCTGTGACGTGAGAAGCAACAGGACTATCGGCAGCAGGCAAGGAGGAGGCGCTGGAGCATGGAGGGCTTATGACTGCTTGGATGTTGGCCAGGGGCAGCGGGAGCTAGAGGGAGGAAGGGCATGGCAGCTGGAGTGGTATATTAGCTCCCTGTGGCTGCTGTGCAGGAAATGGACAAAGTGGGGCAAAACTAGATGAAGCCCCGAGGGAGGAGCTGAAGCAGGCCTAGAGAGGGCGGTGGTCGCACGGGAGGCCAGGGGAGTAGAATCAGCATGAGCTGCTGGTGGGTGGTGGGCCTTTCCCTGAGAGAGCTCATCACCACCAGGCAGCCCAGGAGTCCACTGCCTGGTCAAGGAGGGCTTGAAGTTGTACAGCTCCCAAAGGCTAGGGCACCAGTGACTGGGCCGGCTGTTCACTCACCCCCACAAACTCAAGGAACAAAATCAATGCAGGAATAGTGGGTGCTCCTCGGTCATAGGTGCCTCGGCCAGATGAGCAACCAGGCGTGATGCGGGTGGCGGGGTGCGGTAGATGTGAGACATAAGCCAGATGACACCTGTGTTCAGAGGTCCACCTTCCATCTACCTTGCACTGTGCTAGCTACCAGTGTGAGCGACATGGGCTGTCCTCATGGAGCTTTGCTCCAGTGGGAAGACAGTGAAGCAGTCACTCATACAGTGTAATGCCTGCTTAGAAGGCACGTGTCATACTGGAAGGGGGTAAGATCTTGGAAGACTTCCTGGAGAAAGTGATGTTTCCGCAGAGACTAGGAGTTGGCCAGGAAGGGTAGGAGGGAAAGCGTAGGCAGAGGGAAGAGCAGAGGCCGAGACTTAGTGATTAGATATTTAGAACCGTGCCTCTGAGGCCCCCTGCTCACCGACCACTATGGTAAAGGCAGGTGGGAAAGCAGAGGTCGCTAGGACCTCACCCTGCCGAGGGGGACCCATCCAAAGTGGAAGCAGGAGAGGGCTGCCCTTAGGGATCTGAGGAACCTGGGCTCTGTCCTGGGAGTCTGGGAAGGATTCAAGCAGAAGAGCAGCTTGACCATCTTCACTCTGCCTATGATGGAGAAAGGGCGAGATTAGAAGCGGGAAGGCCAGCCGAGGGGCTGTGGCAGCAACCCAAGGGGAAGATGACAACTCCTACTGACCCCGATCACTGGCACAGGCCTTGATGTGACATCCAGAGTGGCCACTGGGCCTGGACCAGCGAGCAGTTTGGGAGGAGGGTGTGCAGGACTCCACTCAAGTCTCAAGGCTCCTCACTGAGCTCCTTTGGCTCTTGGAGAAGAGCCCACCTGCCCCAGACACCACCTCGGGCTCCTGCCAGGAGCCAGTGAGAGGGGTGTGAGCAGCGTCAGCAAACAGCCCCACAGAGGCACATCCAGAGGGGCCCACAGAGTGCTCATCCTCCCAGGGTTACCACGGGATGCGCTGGAAAAGCCAAGTCCTCCAGTGAGGACAGCGGCTGAGCTCATGCATTTCTTCTCGGAACAGGCTGGTCCAGGTGCTGAGAGCATCCAGGAACTCAGAACATACCAGGGACTGGGCGACCCAGTGCTGCTCAGCCCCAGGGTTTCCTGTCCAAGTTCCTTTGAAGTCTGGAAATTGGGGCTCCTGGAGAGACTCCATCTGAAGTTCTAATCCACCCCCACTTTGTTCTAGGACTAGAATAATAGCTCTTGGCCCTGGGCTAATCAGGCTGAATTTTGGTGGCCTTTCCTTGCTCTTAGCTGTGCCTGTGGCAAACAGGCCCCCAGGCCACTCCCTGAGGCCGTAGGATAGAGAAATTCATGCATTTTACAATAGGGAGCATAGGGGAGTTTGCTCTTTGGTCAAAAACTCATTGTCCTTCTGCCAGTAGAAATACATGGTGAGTTCCCACCCTTCTGGTGGTTTGTTTTAAGGAAGAGCATTATGGGGGATCAAGCAGAGAAATACAGTCTAACCCAACTTGCGAAGTGCACACAAGTCTGATTTTCATAGCATAGGATCCCAGGGTGTTTCCTAGAGACCTCATGGAGAGTCATGTGTCGGGGAACACCTTTAGGAGGCAGCTGTTCCTTCACCCCCAGTCTGCAACGGTAGAAGGCAAGAAAAAGGGTGAGCTGGGGAACAGTCAAGTACGAAACAGCCCAGGAGAGGTGGCAGTTGCAGGGGAGAGGTGGGGAGGGTAGGGGGGAGGTTGGTCTCTGCTTTTTTATCCCTTTGAATTTGCCCCTTGATGTTACTAACGGCCAGAAGGTGAGTAACCTTTTGAGAAAAGGTTACTCTTTTTTCCAGCTTCTACATGCCACTAAAAAAAGAATTGATAAAATAATAAAACAGGAAAGAGGCAGGTCACAAGATCAATTTACAATAATCAGTTGTGTTCCTATGCGTAAACAATGAGCTAGAAGACAAAGAACTAGAACACAACCTCATTTACCATCACATCAAAAAAGAATGAAATACCGAGGAGTAATCGTAACAAAGTGAAGGGCTTGTACAATGAAAACAATGACATTGTCCAAAAAATAGAAAGAAGACAACAAAACAGAAAGATGCCCCCTGTTTAGTGGCTGAGCATTGTCACAATGGCTATATAACCCTCCTTCATTTGGGGGTGAAGAAAAGGGCTAAATGTCATGTGGAGAGTGACCCACTGACACCTTTCAAGTCTCGTAGTAAACAAAGCTTTATTGTATATTTTCTTTCACTTAAAAAAAAAATGGAGCATTGGAAACAACCTCAGCATGGTCCCTGGGCTCGGGGCGAGCCCACATCAGCCGAAGTAGCCCCAGAGGAAGATGGCACAGCTGACACAGAAGATGAGGTTCACGTCCAGAAAGCTCTTCACCAGGGGGTTTTCTTCCAGGGAGATACTGACGGGCTCCGCTTTGCTCGGAGGCGCCTCCTTTTCCTTGCTCTCCATGCCACACAGCCACAGGATGGATCTTGTGAATTTGGACGGCTTTGGGGTCACGTCACCTACAGAGAGCCCAGCAAAGAAAGGTCAGGGTGTGTCCCCCAGAAGAGGGGGGGGAGGTCTCGCCGGTGTGTTCCAGGCACTGTGGGAAGGACTTTCTGTGTCTCTTCTGGGAGGTATTTGTTGATACCTTAATTGTGGAAGACTGTTCAACACTGGAAGCTTGGTGTTTTCAGGCTTTTGAGTGCTTTCTGGTATAGAATTTTAGGTGAAAAGATTGAATCTCAGACTGACTGGCTGGGGTGAAGCCCAGCACTGGAAGAATGGCAGAGATGGGCTGACTCCCTCCTCTTTGGACAGGGGTGCCTCCCTTAGGAGAAACTCAGTTTCTCCATTCAGAGGGGAGGGTGGTCCTGCAAACACAGACTCCCACAGAGCCCAGCACTCTCCTCGGAGTGAGGAGAGCTGATAGCTTATTACACAATCTGAGGTCATCTTTGCCTCTTCCAAGTAAGGGTCTCCCTTTTGTTTTTCTTAAAACTTATGACCTTCTGGGTCTATCCTTAAGTTTCCCACTTTAACTGGACATGGGTTCATATTCACAATTATGAAGAATAATAATAAAAAAAAAGACCAAGTGCGATGATGACAACTATGGTCTTGGGTGATGGAGACAGCAGGGGCTGGTGGGGACCTTGGCAAACTGAATGGCAGGTCCTGCTTTACAGCTCCCAGCTACTTTGGCCGTGTAGACATGTGGGCCCAGTGTGGCCTAGACTTCCCATTTGGCAAGAGAATATGGAAATCTAGAATTTTATGTGCATTCTCAAGTTCACATTTTATTAAAACAGTCAGTGTACTAAACCAAAATATGTTTGCAAGCTGCCAGCAGGAAATAGTCATTTAGGCCAGCAGCAGCGTGGCGTCTGAGGATTGCAGGTGTTAGCTGTTAATGGCCACCTGAGGGGTCTGTTGAAAGTTAATAAAGCGCCCACTTCCACTGGCCAAAGTGAGGGAGGACCAGGGATGCTAAGATTCCAAGTCTGACCCCTTTTCTGGCTTGTGATTTAAGGGCAAGTCTCCCCTTAAGCACACGATGCTTCTTAAGGCTCCCACCATAACTCAGAAGCCAACTCACAGCTGTGGGATTTGGATGTGTTTTCCTGAACGCTGTCCAGCTGGATGTGGGTGCCGCTGGCCTCCGGAGGCTGGGATGCTACTGGTGGTGCTGGGTCATGACGGGTAGCCCAGGTCAGGCGGCTGACCTAAGGGGCAGAGGCAGATGGTAAGGTGGTAAAGGACGAGAGGGCCTGTGGTCCCTTCCCCCATCCCCGCCCAAGCCCAAGTCTGCCCCAGTCTCACTCTCTCACTCCTCTTCCAACAAAACATCAGTGCTCTGTGCTTTCCAGAATCAGTGGGCATTCCCCTCCTGCTCTATCTTTCCTCTACAACCCTTTTCCCCTGATGGGGTCACCACTTCCCTCTTTCTAGTCCCCAAGGCTTCTTAAAACTTATGACCTTCTGGGCCTATCCTTAAGTTCTGGGTCAATCCTGGCACCTCTGGGACCGGCCGTCAGCCGCTCAGTGCATCTGTTTCCCTGGCCACCGCGACTGCATGGTTCTCAGATGAGCTGTGTCTTGAGCTGACTCCATCAGTGGGAATCAGGAACTTCGCTAGAAAGACTGCGCAACAATGCTTATGCTTTTGCTTAATGAGAGCATGCTATGCTGCACCCCTAGAAGCTGCTGGCCCTGAATGTTACCCAGGGAACAGAAGCAGAGGAAGAGATGGTTCTGACAATCCATCATCAGTACAAGTTCAGAAGTCAAACCGTCTCTAAGACCCAATTGGACTCCCCACATTTTTGAATAACCGATCCTCTATCTTAAGCCAGCCTGGGGCCATTTTCTGTCACTTGCAGTGAGGGTTCTCAAAGGATATAGCATCAAATCCTAGCATACCATCTCTTTGGAGGGTGGCTCTGTGAACCAGCTCACAGTGGACACGATGATCAGGGTGACCGAGGACAGAATCATGGAGAAATAGAGGTAGTGGACCTTCACCACATCTGGGCGCTCATCCTTCTGGTTACACAGAGGCTGCACATAAATAAAGTCCAGGACCAGCCGAACCAAGCCGAGGAGGAGGCCGAAGATCAGGCCTGAGAAGGCTCCCTGCAAATCACAATGAGGCCAGCTTGGAGACATTGAGGGTGGGGGTGGCTGGCTCGGGCCTCCAGAAATTGCCACCAGCTGCCCCCCTCCCCAGCATGTCTTCAATGATTCGAACAAGGTCACAGCTACTTATTGATCGTTCCCATATAATTAGTCAATTACACATAATTTACATAACTCAGTTTCCCAGTTTAATGACAAAATGAATCAAAATGCTGCTGACAATGCCTGTGGCTTTTTTCCCCGAGACCTGGTCACATCTTCCCCATACCTGCCAGCAAGAATTCAGCCTCCCCCATGACACTCAAGCCAAGACAGCCAGGCACCCGCCCCGCCACCCTCCTCCTCGTGGGCAGCGCTTGTTTCTGGCCCCTGGGGGCTGATCAGAGCTACCTTCTCATTGGTCCGCTTCCAGAAACATCCCATGATGAAGACTATGGCCACAGGCGGCTGCAAGTAGGAGCTGATGGACTGGATGTAAATGAAGAGCTGGCCACCCTGGCTGGCCTGGACCACGGGGATCCAGAGGATGGAGACCAAGACCAGAAGCAGCACGAACGCCCTGGAGCCAGCAGAGAGGGGCCCCTCAGCTCTCTCTCCCCAGACCTCGCGCCACTTTGGAGGGCTTCACTGAGGGGGAGATCACGCACCCCAAGACTCACTCATGGATGGATGACTTGCAAGTCTACAATCCAGCAACTCTGGAAAATGTACAGAGTTGAGTGCTGTCCCCACTACAAGTCTTAGCACTTCCTCAATCCAAAATTTCTCTCCTGCTCCTTTACAGTTTATCCCTACTCCCACCTAAAGCAACCCCTGTCTGTCTGGATTTGTCTTTCCTGGTCCCGCTGTAGAAATGGAACCACAGCAGAGGTCTTCTGCAGCTTGTTTCTCTCACTGAGCATTTTTGAGGTTCGTCCCCATGCTGTGCATCATCTTTTCATTTCTTCTGATTGCAAAACAGTCCATTCAGAAGCTGTGTCCTCACAACCCGTGGTTAACTTTTGCCAGCTGGTGGGCGCTGGGGCCATTTCTCCTTGGGGCTGTTGGGAAAATGCGGCTGTGGACATCTGTGCGTCTGGCTTTGTGCAGACAGCTGCTTCCATTTCTAGGGATGCAGCTGCTGGGTCTGACGGTCATCACGGTTATCTTTGACTTGTGAAGACAATTCCGAACTGTTTTGAACAGTTGAACCATTTTACTTTCCCATCTGCCGTGCATGAACATTCCAGGTTCTCCGTCTCCTTGTCAGCCTCTTCAAGTCCAGTCAGCCCAGTGTGTGTGCAGCGGCACCTCATGGCAGCCTTCTAGGTTATAGTCTAGTTGTGCAGATCAGTTATGAGATGCATGACTTGCGATCTCTTCTCTCAATCTGTGGCCGATTTCTTATTCTCTTAGTGGTGTCTTTGAAGGTAAAAAGGGTTTTGATTTTGATCATCTAACTTATCTTATTCTTCTTTTATGGATTTGGCTTTTGGTGTCATAGCTATGACTCTTTCCCTAAGCCCAGGCTGAGGCAGCACCTTCTCAAGGGCCGGGGCCCCAAGGTGCTTCCTAGCGTGTATTTTAAAGAAAATTCACACGCCCCTCAGTGGAGATATATCTGTTTCCTCCACTAGACTTCAGGACTTGGGAGGATGACCTTCCTCCCACCCCCCAGGTCCTCCTCCCTTCTACCTGGCTAACTCGTTCATCCTCAGGCACCACCCACATCCTTCCCCGTGTTCCTGGGCTCCCCAGTGTGGCGCTCTGGGGACTGTTGTGTTTGCCTGTTTACTTATCCTTCTCTTCTTCTAGTGCCATGAGAGCAAAAATAGTCCTTCCACGCAGTGCTCACTGTCTTTTGGGTGGGTGAGTGGAGGGGTGGAGGGGTGACCTGCCCGTGGGGTCCTGAGGTACCACACCTGTCCCGTGAGAAGATTCTGACCCATCCTTGATAAGTCCCTGGTTGGACTGTATCTCAGGTGGGCTCAGCCCTTTCCTGCCTGGGTGTGTGGGCCTGGACTGCCCTGCCCAGCCCCACCCTGTGGACCTCACCTGCCCACAATCAGGAGCTCCTTCTCAGAGGCTCGAGGCCGGATGTGTTTCCAGAGGTCCATGGTGAAGATGGTACTAGCGCTATTAAAGATGGAGGTGAGGGAGGACATGAGCGCTGCCACCATCACAGCCATCATGAGCCCACGGAGTCCTGGGAGCAGAAGGTTATGTAAGCTCAGGAGGTTCCGGCCACCAGCTGCTGCCTCCCCTCATGATGCCCTTACCCAGCTGTGGAGCCAGCTGGCCCAGAGGGCCCACTAAAGGGAGACAGAGTGTCTCAGGGTGGAAGCCATGAGCAGGGCTGGATAGGGCCCCCACAAAGCCAAGGCTTTAGCTGGGGGCCCTAGGTCCAGAGCCCCATTCCCTTCCAACTCGTCCCTCGCTCAGATCAGGACTCAGCCAACATCCTCTTTCCTGGGTGCTCCAGAGGACTTGATTCAGGGTGAGGGCATTACCTGTGGGCAGGAGTTCTAGCACCAGTTTGGGGTATGCGATGTCTGAACAGCCGGAGGGGTTGCCACAGATCTTCTGGCAGATTTCTGGTTCTGCACAAGCCACCTGATCTGTGGAGAAGGCCAGGCCCAGGTTGAGTGGACAGACTCCTGAGCCAGGCCCAGCCAAGGTGTGCTCTGACACTGGCCAGCACCAGGACACAGGGCTGCTGGAGAAAGGCGCATGGCCCGATGAGCTAAAAACGACTTGAGACATCACGAGTCCTGGCCTTTCTGGGCGCTGGTTGCCTTACTGTAACGTTGGGATGACAATGGGATCTTGCTTCAGCAGACTCTAGTGAGAACTGACGGAGATGATGGAGGTCACGCACTTAGGCAGTGCCAAAGACACTTCCGCTGTGGGTTGTAACCCAGATATGAGGCAGGTAGCAGCCAGGCTCAGCCCAGTGTCCCACACCGGGGGCCATCGCTCTGCGGCTCCTCGGGTACAAAGGAGGTCGCCACGGCTTACCGCCTGGCAACTGTTTTTCAATTTCTTCATTTTGCAATATCCTTCTCAATAGCTCATTCAAATGTGATTTTAAAATTCTATGGTATTGTAGCTTCATTTTGTTTCAAAGATTTATTTATGCATACAAAACTGGGGTACAGGCCAGAGGTGCAAGGGTGGTGAGATGATTCACCAGAGACAGAGCCCACCAGGGAGGGCCCTGTATTTTTTTTTTTTTTAATGTAGCATAAAGTCAAAGAAATGAAATAGCTTTTTGTGCATTGGAAAGGCCAAGGTCAATGGGTCCTTATAGATTCCTGCACTCGGATGTCTTCTCAGGGCTGGGATCTGTCCCGTAACAGTTATCAGCGGAAAAGGAAATGAGGGCTGTGGCCACAATAAGCACTTGTTAATAATACTAATAGCAGGGGCCTCCCTGGTGACGCAACGGGTTAAAGCACAGCACTGTGAAGCTGTCGCAGCCACTGCAGCACAAGTTCGATCACTGGCCAGGGAGCTGACCCCACCTGTCTCACCTGCTGCTCCCCTCAGCAGTGTATTTCAGTACACCTGCCTGTTCTGCTCCCTACTTTGCCTCTTAGACCCTGCACCTCTGGCCTGTACCCCACTTTTGTATGTGTAAATCTTTAAAAAATAATACTAATACTAATAGCAGCTGATAATAGTAGATGTCCCCCAAAATCCCAGTTCAGCCTCAGACAAAATTAAAGCTGTAGCTGTCGAACAAAATGGCGAAGGGTGAATCCCCTCGGCTTACCTCCTTCCCATGTGTACAACCAAGTTATATTTAAATACAGACAGTGGAGTCTGCAGGACAGGCTGACGCCTGCGCGCACCGAGATGGACAGTGTGGCGGCCAGCAGGAAAATCTGCGACTGTGTTGGGCTCATTACTGGGGCAGTGTGGGGGGTGGGGGAGGTGATGTGGAGCCTCTGTGTTGCTGTGAAGGCTCACACTAGAACTCGGGGTCTGTGCTGCAGAGTTGGGGCACAGAGAGTCACTGTTCAGGACCAAAGTTCACCCACTGGAGAATTACAGAAATGGGGGTGCGGAGACTTGTGGTGGGATGCCCAAGTGGAGCAACACCTGCAGACGCAGATACCACACTGCTGAACGGCAACTAGGAATCCAGAGCGTGGGGTACCCTCCACCCTACACAGGGGGATCGGACGGCCGGCAGTCGCGGTGACCGCCGGCTCGGGGTTTTGGTAGGATGGGTATTGTCCACTGGACTCAGGCCCGGAGGCCTAGACTGGCTCACCTGTGGCTGGATTAGGCCGCCTAAAGCTGTGATGAGAAACACCTGCCTCGCCCTCACCCAGGCCAAAGCTGAAATAACTGAATGAATAGAGGATATGCTGCCATTGACCAGAGTTCAAAGCACGGGGCGTGAGCAAGGGAGCGGATGCCCCAGGTGAGGCTCGGTACTAGGCAGCAGCCCCAGCCTTGGCATGTTCCAGCGTAACTCCCCACTGCCCGCAGAATTGGCATTCCAGCAAAAGCAAACCACGGGGACAGCCTCACACTTAAAAGTTCTTGCACCACCAAAGAAAAAAGTTTAGAAGTTGAGTAAAGAGGCCTCCCTCCTACTGAATGGAAGGGAGAGGGGCACGCCCTGTAACCGAAGCTCCTGCAACTTAGCTAAAACCAAGCTACTCCATTAAAAAATGGGCAGCAGCCCTCCCTGGTGGCGCAGCGGGTTAAAGCACAGCACTGAGAAGCTTAAGCCACTTCCGCATGAGTTCGATTCCCGCCTGCCCCGGAGGTGACCACATGGCGAGGCAGACCTCTCCTGACCCGCCTGCTGCTCCCCTCAGAAGTGTGCTTAGTTGATCTGCCTGTTCTGCTCCCCACTCTGTCTCTGGCGAATCCTCTCACCCTCCGCATCTCTGGGCTGTACCCCAGTTCTATATGAATAAATAAATAAATCTTTAAAAAAAAAAGGGGGGCAGCAATTGAGATGGAAAAAAAGTACAAAATGATGTAAAAATAAACTATTATATTATTAAAAAAAATCACTGGCAATAAATTCTTAAACTAGAAAAAAAAATGGGCAGCAGATATGAAAAGACAGCTCCCCAAAAAGGCTATTCAGAAGACCAGCAACACCTAACAGGAAAATGGCTCATTGTGCATTTAATAATGGAGATGCGGGTCAAAACCACAGCGAGGGGCCCTCCCTGGTGGCGCAACAGGTTAAAGCACAGCACTGAGAAGCTAAAGACACCTTCGCATGAGTTCGATCCCCGCCTGCCCGGGAGGTGACCCACATGGTGCGGCAGACCTCTCCTGCCCGCTGCTCCCCTCAGCAGTGTACTTTGTCGATCTGCTCCCCACTCTGTCTCTGGTGACGCCTCTCACTGCCTGCACCAATGGCCTGTACCCCAGTTCTGTATGCACAAATAAATAAATCTTTAAAAAATATATAGTATTGTTAAAAAAAAAAAGTGCAGCCAGGTATCACCTCATCCCTGTGAAGACGCACAGAGTGGAGAGGCTCCCAAAAGCAGGAGCTGGAAAGGAGGTAGAGAAAGAGGACCCACCCCTGTGTTGGTGGGCTGTAACTAACTGGTGCCGCTGTTTGGGAAAGGAAGGTGGACACCCAGTGAGCCAGCGATCCCACTTTTGGGCATCCAGAGAATATGAAATCATCAGCTCAAAAAATTATAATATCTGCTCCCTAATGTTTATTGCAGCGTCAGCAGGAAGGGATGATGCCCCGTGGAACAGGGCAGAAGGAAAAAGAAAATATCGGATGGCTTCACTTGCTAAGAGGAGTATAGGGAATCCAAGCAAAGAGTCAAAAAAGAGACAAAATTGGCAGGTAAACCATAGATCTGGGGCACACAGCAGGGAGGGGTGGGCCCAACTATGGGCGAAGAGCACAGGGACTCTGCTGATGGTTCACGGCAGGTGTGGTGGTGGGAGATTTATGGGGACTACACGCAAGGAGAGAAATCAGCTACTGCACAAAAGTAAACAATGTAAAAAATAAGTGTTGATCGCAGCGTTATTTATAAGGCCCATGAGGGAGAATTGGGTAAAGATGTCCACATAATAGAATACTTACTCTTCAGCTAAGAGGTGAAATGTTACCATTTACTGCAAAATGGAAGATGCTCAAGGGAATTATGTGTAGCAAAATAAATGGTAAAGTCACGAATTTGGATGATTTTGCATATAAGTAAAAGGAAGAATCAAAGTAGGTGAACTGACAAAGCAAAGTAATTATAAACCAACAGACACTGATAATCAAAGTGAAGTTAAAATGGAGAAGAGAGGGAGGGTCAAAGGGAGAGGTAGAGAAGAAAAGCAAAAAAGAATCTTTACAGTCAGAAGCAGGCAGAGACATGGAAGTTATTCTGGCAAAAAAAAAAGAAAAAAGAATCTCTAACTAGAGACTGAAGCAATGGAAACACTGAAACACGGATCTAGAAAGTGTTTTGCATTAAACAATGAAGGCTTAAGCAAAGTCATTGTAAACTTAAAAATAAATTAAGATTACTGACTAACAGTGATATTTGACAAGAAGTATTGAGAAGAAGTAATCTATTGAGAAAAATACTTTTGAGAGATCAAAGGTCTTGACTTTTTATGATACCTCCAAGGAAGATACGGAGATTAGGAAATAGATTCCTGTGTCCTGAAAACCTGGAAACCCCAGATGGAGAAAAGGTTCTTGTTTACATTCAAACCTCACTCTCCACCTCTCGCCTCTTGTCCAAAATCACTTCTCTTCAAGGTGCAAGAATCTGCCTGAGGTATTTCATTAACTACAGAGTTGATGTTTAACCTTCTAGCCTTTAACCATGAAACACGTGACAGCCAGTTTATAAAGCAGGTTTGTGGCGGAAAACTGTTCATTCAGACTAAAGAATATATTCATCACAGAAAGTAGCTGGTTCAGCTAAGTTATAAGTAGACAACAGCCTTGGTATTGTTAACCACCTTCATTAGCATCTGCTCACCTGTCTCGGGTTAACCAATCAGACACTTCAGCTAAAGAGTGGGTTCCCTTGTCAGATCAACCCTGATACCTGAGATGGATTCTTCTGCGGCCCTCCCTGGTGCAGCACTATGAAGTGATCTACAGTCACTGCTGACTGAGTTCCATTCCGGGCCAGGGAGCTGACCCACATGGCACAGCAGACCCCTCCTGACCCACCTGCCTCCCCTCAGCAGTGTGTTTCAGTCCATCTGCCTGTTCTGCTCCCCACTCTGTCTCTGGTGGATCCTCTCACCCACCGGACCTCTAGCCAGTACCCCAGTTTTTGTATGCACAAATAAATAAATCTTTAGGGAAAAAAAGATTCTTTTGGCCCAGTCAATTGCAAACATAATACAAAGCCTTCTTGCAAATGCCAAATGGGAACCTCACTATGTAATCATTGAACACAGCTGGTCCCCATAACTCCATGGCAGAAATACTGCTATTCTACCTACTTTCAAGAAAAGTAAACAGAGGCCCAGAGAAATGAAATATCTTCCACAAAGCACACTGTTCTATAGTGGTGGAAGATGGGTGAGGTGGTGGTGGGTGCACTCCTGTGGCAATACCTGAGGGGGGAATCCCAATGTTATAGCAGTCAAAAATAAAGTAATAAATGGTTTCTCCCATCATACAGCTAGTGAACAGGTTTCAACGCTAGGTTTCAAACACTTACTTCATTCCAAAGCTCGGATGGAGAAGACTGTGTGCCTGGGTACATTTCTAGACTCTTGGGTTTATTTTTTTGAGGGTTGTTTTGTTTCTCGTCATTTCTGTTATCATTCCTTTTTTTTCAGGTGGACTAAGTGGAAGAGGGTGTGGCCCAGGCTTGTGAGGGCTCAGGAGCAGAATCTCCCTATAGGCATGTCTAGACCCAGTAGAAGATTTAGAGGAGGTTCTGATGGAGATGAGGAGAAGAGAGAAATAGAAGTGGCAAGCACCATGGCTTGGCCCAGAGCCTGGCACTTGAGGGGAGGGATTCTCAGTCTTCCAATGGTCTTGTCTAAAGCAAATGCTGGTGTCATCCCCCAGAGATTCTGATTCAGTCGGTCTTAGGCAGAACCTGAAAGCTTGCACTTCTAGCAAGTTCTGGAAGACACTGCTGATGCTGGCCGAGGGGCCACACATTTCAGAAACATTGGTCAAAGCTTCAAATCCTCCATGTCCCACCATCCCCCACCCCCCCACCTCACTCTCTTAACCCCTGTTGCTTTATTATATGATATAGTATTTTGCTATCATCTTTATCTTATGTTTTCATGAGTTTCAGACTCATCCATCACATTAGGGGTTGGACCATGGTGTGACAGCTCATTTGATGGCTGTTAGGAGTGATGGTTGTAATCTTCTTATTGATCTTCCAGATATTGATCCAAAGCACAAGATATGATTTGCTGAGAGAGACAACAGCATGATTTAGAATCAAATCCAGGCTTACCCACCACTAACAAATAACTTACAGCGAGTAACTCAGTCTAGGAGAGAGCAAGAGTCCTCCTTTTCCTTAATTCCCACACCCAGTCCATCATTAAGCTGGTAGCTTCACGCTAGACTATAGTTGGATGAACTGTTGCCTCTTCACAGACTGGAAACTGTTAGAAGAAGCCCTGCCAAGTCCTCTGTGGCCTCTCCCGGGTCACTTAGCACAGTAGACCACGAGCTCAGTTATGTCTTTACTTATTTTTGTCTGTCTCCTCCACCAATAAAATGCAAGCCCCACCAGCACACTGTGTCTTGTTTATTAATGAGCCCCTGTGCCCGGCAGATGTCTGGCTCTTACAACATTTACTGAGTGCAAGAAAGAATGACTATATAGTGGATTAATTCCTTGAGCTTCAGTTTCCCCATCTGTTGAATTCAAATAACAATAGGTCATTTTGAGAAACAATAGAGATGAAGGGTCTCCCTGGTGGTGCAGCAGTTAAAGTCTCAGCACTATTA